TTATGTCAATTCATCTGACAAGCAGGACTCTTGTGCCTGGCACAATAAAGAACGAAGGGAAGGTGAATACGTTATGATCGATACCGAACCAACCCTGTATATATTCATCCTTGACATAATCTCTAAGGTGCTTGTTTGCCATTTCTTCTCATCAAGTCTTTATCGCCACAGCAGGCGATAACGATGGAAAATCATTATCTGTGTCTGTATTAACTTTTACCACGCAAATCCTGCTCTTTTACAAGCCCAGTTGCCATCATGATTCATTGGGCTGAACTTAGAAGGATAAAACACATCTTTTCAGACTGAAGAAAATTCTATTTCCTTTCCAGATATAAATGCAGATAGAATAAATACGTAGTGTTCTGCTGCTAGTGGCCATCCCTTAATGGCATGCATATGCTAGAAGTGGCAATGTCCTAGTAAAATAATTGCATAGCATAATGGTGGTGGGGCGGGAAATGAAATATACTGTTCTCTTGTAGGTTTGATCCACCAGCCTAGGCAAAGCTCTTACTGACATTAGCGGTGCAGTATCAGGTCCTGTATTCAATATGAAATCACACTTATAAACTTCTCCGTGTTATTCTGGAATGTCAGTAATTGGTCTGGTGAGGTGAGCACACTGGGAGACCCATGTTTTCTAGTGGACTGTATATTCTGATCTGGAAGCATTTGGAATTTTACAATTCTATAGAGCAGGGGTCGGCAACGTTTGGCACGCGGCTCGCCAGGGTAAGCACCCTGGAGGGCCGGGCCAGTTTTATTTACCTGCTGACGCGGCAGGTTCGGCCGATCGCGGCCCCCACTGGCCACGGTTCGCCGTCCCGGGCCAATGGGGGTGGTGGGAAGCGGTGTGGGCGAGTGATGTGCTGGCCGTGGCTTCTCGCCGCCCCCATTGGCCCGGGACGGCGAACCGCGGCCAGTGGGGCCGCGATCGGCCGAACTTGCCGCGTCAGCAGGTAAATAAAACTGGCCCGGCCCGCCAGGGTGCTTACCCTGGCGAGCCGCATGCCAAACGTTGCCGACCCCTGCTATAGAGCCAGTCATCAAACACACACATGGTGAAACTCCACTGGAGTCACCGGGGTGAAATTTAATCGAATACACTTTTCCGGCTGGTTTGAAAGGGCTGTCAACTGCGGCTGTAAAGACTCCGGCATACCTGTCCTCAGTGCTGAAAGGAAATCTCCTGTGACTGTGGTTTACATACCATACAAAATGCTTAGGCAGAGGCATGCAAGGAGCCAGGAGACAAAATGTAGATCTCCTGGGCACAAGTGAGTTGCCTTTGCATCTGGTCACGACAAGGAAAAGTGTAGCATTGTTCTTCACGTTAATGCAGAACTTGCATTAAAGGCCAGGCTGTGTAGTGATGTAGAATAGAGGATGAAAATGAGTGGTTTCGTAGTTTTGCATTTTAATCTATACTTTTTATTTCCTTTCCTTGGATAAAAGGGGTAGAAAGGTGTGTGTGTGTGTGTGTGTGTGTATGTTTGTGTGTGTGTTTACAGAAAGGCATCTGACAATTCTTGAGAGTCCTCAATGAGTCTACAACTAGCCAGAAGTGTCATCCCTTTTAGCCCAGTCAAGGACTCTTTGCCACTGTGACATAAGGGGCTTCATGGATGATTGGAAGGTGTCAGAACCACTAACATGCTTAAAAATCACTCACAAAGAACTGATACGCTAGGCCTGACCCTGATTTCGCGCTTTTATTACACTCATGAAACCGAATTGATTCTGGATTTGCACTAATGTAACTGAGTGGAGAATCTGACCCTGTGTTTCCTGGCTCTGCCTGCATGGAATTGCTTTCTGACACAACCAATCCTTTTATTTTTTAGAATTACATAGCATTACCTTTATTTCAAGACAGTATCAAATATTCTTTAAAAGCATCTAAACACATGAGTTATTGTTTTAAAAGGTGAAGTGAATTATTTCCAAAAGTTACAAATCCCCCTTTCCAAGCAAACAATTCTGTACAAAATTTAACAGCAGAAATGACACGTGACTCTTGTAAATCGTTTCTTTGAAGGGGGTCAGATCCTCAGCTGGTATAAATGGGACTTAAAACCACTCTGATTCACGCCTGCTGACAATCTGTCGCTGATCCTTTTCAGTGTAGTTGTCAAGCTGTGTGTTTATGGTGGAGTCATACAAAGGTTGATGGGACTCTTATTATGCTGATATGTAGGAGGGTATTATCTGGGGTTAAACATAACCGTGTTTAAGGACGAGGGATTTGATCCTGCAACTTTTAATCATATTGAGCTGCACTCGCACAAGAAGTCCAACTGAAGCCATGAGCTTGTTCATGTGGGTAAGCCCTGCTGAACCTTAATGAGGGTTGCAAATTGGACAGTAGGGCCGAAGGAAAATAAATCTTAAAAAACCAAACCAAACCCATGAGCAACGAAAAGGGATGTAAGATCTTACTAGATTTGTGTCATGTCTCGTTTTCTTCAGATTTTCCACTGACTCAAGTTACTAACAGGAACAAGGAGGTAGGGAGTACGTTAGTCATAATTGCAGGAAACGTCTTCCAAAATGCTGCTGCTTAGTTGTAGATGACCTGACTCTGATGCTGTTTTTCCTTTGCTCACCACTTGCTTCTTCCACTAACATAAAGAGTACTAGGTGTAACCTCCTGCAGGCTCATTAACAATGAAGAGATTTACTCAAGTGCTGTGTAACTTGTAACAAGCCCTTTAGAGAGGAACAATGGTCCAGTGGCTAGGACACTAGATTGTGACTTGGGACTCTGCTCCGTCATTGACTTCCTGTATGACTTTGGGCACGTCACTTAGCCCTGGTCTACACTGGGACGGGGGGACGATCGATCTAAGTTACGCAACTTCAGCTACGTGAATAACGTAGCTGAAGTCAATGTACTTAGATTGACTTCACTGCAGTGAGTCGACTGCTGCTGCTCCCCTGTCGACTCCACCTGCGCCTCTCGCCAAGCTGGAGTACAGGACTCGACAGTAGAGTGCTCGGGGGTCGATTTATCGTGTCTAGACTAGACACGATAAATCGACCCCTGCTGGATTGATCGCTGCCCGCCGATCCGGTGGGTAGTGAAGATGTACCTATAGTCTCTTTGTGCTTCGGTCCCCCATCTGTAAAACAGGGATAACAGCACTGCCTGCCCCGCCCCGCAGCGGTGTTGAGAAGATAAATACATTAAAGATTGTGAGGTGCATGGACAGGACTGGCCTTAGGGAAAATGGCGCCCTGGGCAAACTTGTATTTTGGCGCACCTCCCCCTCATTGCCCCTGGTCCCTGTGGGCTCCCCACTCCCCCTTTGTCCCTAGTTCCTGCACTCCCAGCCCTTGCACCCCCTTTACCCCGCCCCTCCTGCGCCCCCAGCCACTGCCCCTCTCCTGCACCCTCTTTACTCCTAACCTCTGCACCCCCCTCCTGAGCCCACGTGGGGAAACTGATCTGGATGCATGGAGCAGCTGGCATTGCTGCCCGCTGTCCCCTGGAACGTTGCTCCGCCGCACACCCCTAGGTGTCTGGGGCGAGGAGCGACGTCGGGGATCCCTGCATCCAGGTCACTTTCCCCACCCGGGCTGCATAAGGGGAGGGCAGAGAGCAGCAGCTTTTGATGCTTGCCTCACAGCACAGCCCAGGTGGAGAAAGTGACCAGTATGCATCGAGCACTTGGTGTTGCTCCTCGCTTCCCCTCCCAATCCCCTATGGGGGCACGGAGGAATGTTGGGGGGGTGAGCTGTATCTGTGGGTCACCACTTCCCCCGCCCCCCCAATGTTCCTCCGCTGGGAGGAAGCAGGGAGAAATCTGGAAGTCCCCCAGGAAGCAGCTTCTGACACTACACCGGCAGCGTGCACCTTTGCACAGCTGCATGGCGCCCCCTTGACCACTGTGCCCTGGGCGGCTGCCTGGGTGGCCCACACCTAAGGCCGGTCCTGTGCATGAAGGTATCTCCTGAGATACTAGGAGAGTGGAGGCCATAGAAGATCCTTTAATTCAAGGAATTAATATTGTTCTTTTAATCACAAAGGAAAAAGCAGGTAACAACTTCTACTGACTTTGGATGTTTCTTTCTCTGTTCCACATCGGTTTGAAAATGTAGCGATGTATGAAGCAGTTGTAGCTGGTAATGTTAGTGAACCAGATAGGGCAACGGGTTGTATTTTGTGTTTTTATCCTGTGCATGATTTATTACACAATTAGCTGCACATTAATGCACTGACTGAGCAAGTTCACTGTTTGCTTTCCATTTAAAATCAGAGCAAGAGAGTGCTTCTAAGGGTATGTCTACACCGCATCTGGGAGAGAGCCTCCCAGACTGGGTCAGCAGATTCATGCTAGTGGGACTTGCCCTAGTGCTCTAAAGATCACAGTGTAGTAGGCAGTGCTTTTACATTGCAACTCAGGCTGGAGCCCACACCCCCCTCCCTAGGCTTGAGCGCCCAAGCTCCAGCCCAAGCTGCAACATAAAAGCTACACAGCCAGTTTTAGAGCCCTTGCGCGAATCTGTTGACCCGACTGAGAGGCTTGCTCCCAGATTCTGTGTAGACATATTCCAAGTGACATCCAATCCTGGTGATGCCCTCATAGTTAAAACATCAGTATTTCAAATGGGAAACACATAACCTTTAATGGAAATGTCCTGGGGCCCCACTCCTGCTGCCGTTGAAATCAAAGGGAAATTTTCCATTCCAGCTGGAAGCTGCATTCACTTTTCTGCTGAGCCCTCCCTACTCTGTTGAAATTGTCCTCCTCTGTGTCCACAGGGGCCAGGCGTGCTGTAGTGTGCCTGTAGAGGGCATTCCAGAGGCTGTGATAGATTGGAGGAATCCAAGGTTACAGGTCCATTTGAACTATGCTGCCACAGAGACGGTGGGGAAGCCAGGGGTCTCCACACACCAGGCCCTTAACCACAGATAGGTTCAGGTGGATGCAGGGGAATCTATCATGTATGATGCTGCAGAAACAATAACAATGCTGATCCCTTCTCTTGAACAGCCCCCTGTGTTGTTGGTGAGCGAGCATTTAAGATGTCACTGAGCAGTGAAAGAAGAGTAAATACCTCAACGCTGAAGAAAATTGCGGCAGATATGAGCAATTTAATAGAGAACCTGGACACCAGGGAGCTCCACTTTGAGGGGGAAGAGGTGGATGCTGACGTGTTAAATGATCCGAAAACAACTGGTGAGTTAGTGTCCATCTGTTTTCACCATATGTCCCACTAGGATTTAGCAATGCAGTGCAGCTGAGGCGAAGATGAAGCTTTCAGTTTGATGGTGTTAGGGAGTGTGGGTGGGGAGAGTGAGAGAGTGGGCCAGGATTTTGAAGCTCTGATAGGGCCTCGTGAAACTGTACTTGGTTCTTTAGGGCTGTGAAACCTTTAAAGTGATGGCGCCATCTTGCAAAGTACTTTGTGATGCCTACAAAAAACGTAGTGATGCCCTCGACCTAAACTGGGAGTTGAGGGTGTTCAGCATCATGAAGGATCAAACCTGGATTTGAGGATTCAAAGTACCTCGTAGGAGTTGCTCAGCAGGAATGAGCCATAAGAAGCACATCCAAAGCCCATTGAAATCAGTGGAAAGACTCCTACTGGTTCCTATAGGCTCCGGATCAGGCCTTAATTAAGCTTTAAGATTTAATTTGGATTTCCTTTCTTTTGTTGTGTTTTAAGGTATAAACCCTTCATTTCATTTTGGCACAGCAGCTGCACATCACTGCACCTGTCTGTCTGTCATCTATGCATTTCTAGCTATCTAATAAAGGCAGGTTGGCTTTTTTGTTTGATTGTTTTTTAAACAGGATTAATGTTTTTTTTCTAATCTGCTCGAGATTTCTGACACTTAGCTGTTTTAGAACTCTTTAAAATAATACTTACAAACTACTCTGAAATTGTCAAAACGCTGCTTCTTGTCATGCCTACAATTTCCATTAGTACCTGGGTGACCTGTTGCAAATTGTCGAAGTTTATGAATGAGTAAGTCTGCAAACATACACAAATAACCCCCACCAAAAAACCTTGCTACACAAAACACCCTTTTGTTCACTTATTTGACAAGTGTAATTTAATTTTAATTATTCCTGATAACACCTCATAATACATCAGTAAACATCCTGTAATATATTTTGTAACATGGATGAAGACTTAGTGATAGAAGACCTCATCACAGCACTTTGCTATTAAATCTTTGCTGAAGAGATGGGTGAGGCTGCTCATTTCGTGCATGAATTATGGAATGTGTTGCTTACCTACGTGCAAACTGCTGAGGTTTTACTGTATTTCTCCAGGTAACCATTGACCCTATTTTATGACAAGAAATTGCTATATCTGGCATTTGAACTCTTCAAGTCAGATGACTTAATGTGAAGGCTTCTATGAGCTGAGGTGCAATAGGCTTTAATAAGGCATGATATGCATTGGGGAAAAATAAGACTACAGAACTTCAAGATTTTATATACTCATTATTAACCTGTTACATTATCCCTTAGCTATTACAGTCTTATTCATAGTTTAAAATAGTGTTAAGCTAATTACTATTTTATGATCATTTGCAGTGGGCATCCCATTCTCTGCAATTTATAACACTCAAGGGTTCAAAGAGCCTCATATACAGACATATCTAACCGGATGTCCGATTAAAGTCCGAGTTCTGGAAGTAGAACGCTTTACCTCAACAAAAAAGGTCAGAACGTGAATGTTATTGGAACATTGTTTTAAATCTCAATCCCATTTTTAATTTCATGCTCCTATTACCATGTTAACACATCACTTACAAGTTAACTTTCTGTAAATCAGCTAGTGGGTTTTAGAAAATATGAATACGTCTGTCTGGGAATAACTCTATCAAGGACAATATGAATAATCTTTGCCTGTTCTGTTTAGAGTCTAATAAAAATTGTAAGTAAAAGTCATAAGGAATGGCTATACCTTTAAATAAAAAATGATAAACTCTAGAGGATTTAATGCTAGAAGATTACCCATTGAGTACTGAAAGACTGGTGCTATTCTTTCCTGTAGGTACCAAGTCCAAATGTTTACACTATTGAGTTCACACATGGAGATTTTACATGGCAAGTGAAAAGGAAATTCAAGAACTTTCAAGAATTCCACAGGGAACTGCTGAGATACAAAGCCTTCATACGAATTCCTATCCCTACAAGGAGGTAGCTATTTTATGCAGTCTTACAAATATGGTTCAAGGCCCAAATTGCATTAGAAAGAAGTGAAAAGCCTGATTCTCTCTTACCCTTGTAGTACACAGGTGTAACTCCATTGACTTCCAAGATTCACTCCTGATTTACCCTGGTATAAATGAGAGGAGAATCAGGCTCAAAATCAACGTATTAGTAAGCAGCAGTAATCTGATTGATCCAATGATCTCTCTCTTGCAATATGTAAAAAGCATGTGGGACATTTTGTGCAGTCAGTTTTTAAGCAGAATTTCCCATCGAAATCATTGGGTCATTGTGCTTAAAAATGTATAGCACAATATGGCCTCTTACCTTTAAGGGCTTATATCTGTGAGTGCTGAGCTCTCTCAGTTTTCCTTCCCAGTGACTCTAATGAGGTGTTCAGCAGCTGGTAGGACTGGGCCCAAGGACTGGGACAGAGCTCCAAACATAAAGAGAGTTGTGGAAAGAGGCCTGAGTGGTGGAGTGTTACAAAAGGATAGTTTGGAGATTGGCATGGGAAGACAATAGGAAGCTGGGGGCAGTCGAGGAAACAAGAGTAAGGATTTTGGTGGGGTAGAGATATGAAAGGCTAAGGGATTAGTGAAACATAATGGTCCAATAACATGGTCCAAATTCTCTTCTGATTAAATAGGCAAAACTCATTTGAAGTCAGTGGATCCGTGGCCATTTGCATCAAAGGAGAATTTGGCCCAATATGCTCTGCTTTTTGCATTGTATTTTAGTTTGAATTGATTTGTACACAGTGATTTGTTAGACAATTTTACGCCTCCCCTTATCTTTCCTCGCTACGTGTCCCTCATTTTATAATAAAGTTTTAAATAGAACATCAGGACTCTTGTGCCAGAGGAAAAGACGCTCACGTTCTACTGATCAGACAAATAATCTGGGATTTTTTTTTTTCTTCCAGTCACACAGTTAGAAGACAAACTGTCAAAAGGGGAGAAGCGAGGCAGATGCCAAGTCTGCCACGCACGTCTGAGAACATGGTCCGAGAAGAACATTTTTCTAGTAGAAGAGTAAATGTCCTTTCTTCTTCTAAATACTTTGTTCAGAGATGTGGGTGTGCTGGTAGAAGACAGGCTGTTGACGTGTTGTGCTGTCCATCTTATTCTTGGGATTTTTCTGACTTTCACTATTTGGGGACCAGCTTGTTTGCAGAGCTGTGTTCTGACCAAGTTCACATGCCTTCTGTTTTGTTAGTAAATTCTTCTGCTTGGTGAACTGAAACTCTGCCAAGTTTAGAGCCAAATTGTCCCTGCTCAGAAAGTGGAAGAGACTGCCTCAAGGAGCACTCTGCCAAGATCTGAGTTATTTCCCCTTTGCTGGGATATTGTGGCGCAGTGGAGAGTGTGCTACATGCATGTGTATATGTATATTTTTTTTCATTCAATCGGTGGCTTCTTTTTATTCTCTTCATGACTTCCTGTAGCTATATAATTAGATTTTTATAGTAATCCCTACATCCTATCTAAAGTTTTCATGCTTGCATTGTAGAAACAACTGGAAGACTACTTGACAAAGATCTTAAAAATGCCCATGTACAGGAACTACCATGGAACGGTAAGTAGTGTGTACAATGGCTTAAGCCACAAATGAATGTTCTTTTCACATATAAGTATTTAACTGAGAGAAATAAATGCTGTAGTTTACTCTGAGGTATATTAAAAGCATTTTGCAGCCATTTTTATTAGGGCAAATATCTTCTCCAATGTCCAATTGTAAATCTGATTATAACCAAATAAAATGCTATACTATCAAGTTATTGGGGTGTCACAGCTACAACACATTGTGACAACCTGCTTGTTAAAGGCAGTCTTGTGCAGACAGCTCATTACACATGTAATACGACCGGCTTCTGATTGGTTCTGGGTAGCATTTAAGATGTTTGGTTGGTGATTCAAATGCCTAAATGATTGGGGTCTCTGCTATGTGGCAGATGTTAACTTCACTTTGGGAATCTTGGGAATTTAACCTCATAGGGCCAAACTGTGCTTTGGCTTATATCCCTTACAACCCCATTGACTTCAGCAAGTTTGTGTTGGTGTTAATAAGAAGAGAATTTGGCACCCTGGCTTCCCCAAGTAATTCATTCCCCCCACAGGAACGTGGTAATCTATATGTCCCCTCATTCCTATGAAACCTCATTGAAGTCAGATGGTTCACGTTATATCCAAAATTTGGCCCATATTGTGCAAGAATGTATCTCTTGAAAGCCATGTTATGTACTTGGAGTTTCACCTCATTGACTGTCCAAATTTTTCACCTGCTAGTTGGAGGAGACTTTAGAGGCCATAACTGTATGTGGATTTATTACTTCTCTTCTGTATCATCAGCAAAAAATGGTTTGTTGCAGAACTTACTGAATAAGCAGAGGGAGTTTATCCTTCTGAGCAAGACAAAACAATTGAGTACACTTGGTTTTAAAATGAGACAGAAACATAGACTCAACTTTACATCTTTAAGGGGGTATATCTGCTCACTATATGTACTGTTAAAGCAGCAAAGAGTCCTGTGGCACCTTATAGACTAACAGACGTATAGGAGCATGAGCTTTCGTGGGTGAATACCCACTTCTTCGGATGCAGCCGAAGAAGTGGGTATTCACCCACGAAAGCTCATGCTCCTATACGTCTGTTAGTCTATAAGGTGCCACAGGACTCTTTGCTGCTTTTACAGATCCAGACTAACACAGCTACCCCTTTGATATATGAACTGTTGTTTCAATGTTGCCTATGCCAAATGTATCAGTGTGAAATCTGCACCACAAATGAACTGGCTGCCATTTAAAGAAGCTCTGCTGTTGTGAACAGTGGCATATGTTGAGGCGGGAGATTTAATTCAGCGTATATGGCATTGGATCCATTTTCCCACTGTCCTGTATGCAGGCATTGCCTTGTCAGATCTCTCTGATATTGTCCACTAATCTAACAACGCAGCTCGTACATCTTGGTCCTGCTAGTGAAGGCAGGGGACTGAACTCAATGACCTTTCAAGGTCCCTTCCAGTTCTATGAGATAGGTATATCTCCATATATTATAACGCCAGAGACAGGGCATTAGGGGAAAAAAATACTAAACATGCATCATCTGCACCCTGGGCTCTCTGCAGGTAAAGCCCATGGACCATGAGCAGCTGTGTTTCTCTCTCCTGTCTTCCTCCAGTGCAGCTCCTGTGACGGGTTCAGTCACAGAGATCCCCTTGGGACTGTCACCTGATGTGCTGAAATTACCTCTGAGCCCATTTTTCCCTGCCAGCTTGGGACTCCAGAACCCTGCTTTATTGAGCCAGACACGCTAGCGTGCTGCAATACAGACCCAGGGTCTGGGCCACCCCCCCCCCCAAGCTGCAGACTTTAACTAACAATAGCTCAGCAGGTTACCTGTCTCCAGCACCCAGACCCCCAGCTCCCAATGGGAGCCAAACCCCAAATAAGTCCGTTTTACTCTCTATAAAGCTTATACAGGGTAAATTCATAAATCGTTCACCCTCTATATCGCTGATAGAGAGATATGCACAGCTGTTTGCTCCCCCAGGTATTAATCACTTACTCTGGGTTTATTAATAAACAAAAGTCATTTTATTAACTATAAAAAGTAGGATTTAAGTGGTTTCAAGTAATAACAGCCAGAACAAAGTAAGTCACAAAGCAAAATAAAACAAAACACGCAAGTCTAAACCTGACACATTAAGAAACTGATTACAGGTAATATCTCACCCTCAAAGATGTTCCAATAAGCTTCTTTCACAGACTAGACTCCTTCCTAGTCTGGGCCCAATCCTTTTCCCTGGTACAGTCTTTGTTAGATCCAGCAGACATCTCAGGTGGTAAGCAGGGGTTTTCTCATGACTGGCAGCCTCTTTTGTCCTGCTCCACCCCCTTTTATAGCTTTGACACAAGGTGGGAATCTTTTGTCTGTGCTTGTCCCCACCCCACCTCATCAATGGAAAAGTACAAGGATTAAGATGGATTCCAATATCATGTGACATAGTCAAATGTCACTGTACGATCCCTAGTCTCCATTCTTCCTGGGTTGGCCCACAGGTACACAGGAAGGCTTGCAGGTAAATAAACCATTTACAACCAATTGTCTTAGTCAATGGGAGCCATCAAGATTCTAAACCACCATTAATGGCCCACACTTTGCATAATTACAATAGGACCTCAGAGCTATACTTCATGTTTCTAGCTTCAGATACAAGAATGATACATGCATACAAATAGGAGGAATATATTCAGTAGTTTATAACCTTTGTTATGTTACCTTACAAGAGACCTTTTGCATAAAGCATATTCCAGTTACATTATATTCACACTCATAAGCATATTTCCATAAAACATATGGAGTGCAATGTCACAGCTCCATTTTGTCCCTGACCAGCAGAGACAGATATTGTTCTGTACATACATTCTTAGAGTATTGGTTGGCTTTCAGTGGATTTGACTTCTGTCAAGCACTCAGTGAGAACTTGCCTTGTGATGTTGGCTGCACTGCTCAGTGCAACAGGTGATGCAGTTAATGGGGAAAGAGAGATGCTGGGAACAAAACATTTATTAATGTATTTAAGATGATCATTCTCAGACCAGAGACAAAGCTGCAGATTTCTGATGTTCACCTTGGACTGGCGTCTGTCCTTACAATAGTACGGGTGTGTTGCTGTTCTTGTGTGGAAAAAGTCTGTCGCTTGAAAACGGAGGGATGTGCTGCTTGTTTTGCTGTTATGTGCAAATTTTGGCTCCTGTGTGTTAGGCTTTGCAAGTCCTCAGGCTGAGGTCCAGCTAGATCTTTGACTTGTAGATGTCTCCAGCTGAATTCTTTGCAAGTTCAGGCATGGGGCTAACTTGAGTGATTCATAAAGGCCAGATGACCCATGTGATTTATTGCCCCCTGAATCTTGTGAGGATCCTCTTCTTGTTAATCCAGTCCCCCTAGAGGTGTTTTAACAACTGATCTGAACAATTCCATTCAATTCATTCCGGATATGCTTTTATTGTGTATTTGTGGCTTGTGTGTTTCGTTCATTTGTACATAATTGGCTCAGCTTGGATGACATGGGCAAACCTAACCTGTAGCTCTTTTCACCCTTGTTGAGGAGCTCAGGGCTATGAAACACTGTGGGATGTAAAGAGACTTACGTAATGTGTTGAATATACAACTCGTGTCTAACTGTTTTGCCTGCAAACTAGAAAATAGTATGCACCTAAACATTGTTTAGTGATGTAACAAGGGCTGCGCTCTTTGACTATGTAACCCAGAATGGGAAAGTTCATAACTGTCTCCTCAAATTTTTCTTAATGGAATATTTGTGTGTCTGCTGTTGTGGCAGGGTATTTGACATGGAGCTGGCAGCTAGTTGAGGGTATAGTTAACGTTGCCTGTTATGATAATCAGATACATCATGATAATCAGATACAAGTACACCTCTACCCTGATATAACGTGACCTGATATAACACAAATTCGGATATAACACGGTAAAGCAGCGCTCCGGAGGGGGCGGGGCTGCGCACTCTGGTGGATCAAAGCAAGTTCGATATAATGCGGTTTCACCTATAACGCGGTAAGATTTTTTGGCTCCCGAGGACAGCGTTATGTCGGGGTAGAGGTGTAATTGGGGAAATTGGGCAAGGGTGGCTCAAATACCTTGTAAAGCCATTTCTATGGGCTTGATTTGAAGTTAAATGGAAAGACTCCATTGAGTTTAATTGCCTTTGGATCAGGACATATATGAGCTTGATAGTTAAAAGATTCCAAAATAACCCTAGTTTAAACCAATAATTGTCCATGCAGCCTTTTGCACTGGCTTTACAAAATCAGTTTAAAATTACACTTCAAATTAATCCAGTGCAACAAGATAAGCCTTGAATGAGTTTCACAGCTATACAATTAAAGAACACTTCACACACCCAACTATGGTTGCTATTTAAGGCTCTTATCCTGCAATTAGATCTGCTAGGGCAGACCCCAGCAGCCATACAGAGCCCCACACTGCCAGATCTGATTACAGGACTGTAGCAAACAAGAATAATGTTTACATGTGTATTTAGTATAAAGCAATTTTTCTGTGTATGATAAAATTGGAACACTGTCCTGGAACCATGTTATTCTGAGCACTGGTTATGTAGTGTATTATTATGTTGCCAGAGCTACTAGTGAACTATTTGTTTTACCATTTTTAAAAAAAAACTAGAGCTGCAATGAAAAACAGACTTTGGAGCTGCTGAATCCTACTTAAAAGGGCAAATTCATCTGAACAATCTTTCTCAAAATCTTGCATAAATATATCATAAGTGCTTGGTTCAGCAGGGGGAAAAAAAGATGGTTAAAATGTCTTGTGTCTCCACGTTGCAGCTGTTATTTCATCTTTCATAGCTCATTTGCTCTTCAGCTGATCTGCTATGTCTGTTTTTCCCCCCCACCTCTTGTTACAATATCATTGAAACTTCAGCCCCCATCTCATAGTTAAAATATTTTGCTACAGATCGCTGTGAAACCTGAGTGGGATGTCCGGTCACCACAACAACAGCTGGGTAGTGTAAGAATTCAAATGTAAAGGAGATGAAAGGGTACTGCTATCCTACTATCCTCTATTTCAATTTTCTTTGTGAATTATGAGATCCTCAGATTAAAGGCACTGTACCAGTAAAAGTATTTAACAAAATAATAATATTGATAATGATATCACATAATCATATTTTTCCATTCCATTAAATAACTTTTCCTGTAATCTACAGGATTTTTCCATATTGAAGCCCCAGGCCTGCAAATGCTTACCTGCTTAGTTTTATGTATTTGAATAATCTAATGGACGTCCAGTGTGACTACTCACATGCATAAAAAGAAACACAGGAGCTAGGATTGGGGCCAAAAGGCCAAGCTTTGCCTTCTGATGCTCTCACAGGACATAGGATTTCATTCGATGTTGTGCACATACAGACCTACTCAAGGGCTGAGTTTGTCCTAAAGGATCTCATATGGCATTCGTATTTGGCTACCATCAGGAGCAGACCAGTCAGAGAGGAATGTGGTTCTGTGTTTGTGTTACTATGGACACCATTTTAAGGACTGATTGGGTGGAGGGGACTGGCAGCTATAATGTTGAACAATATTTGCCTTTGATCTGGCAGTTCCAGGCAATAAAGTTAAGCAAATAAACTGTTACGTTTCCATCTGAGTGGTAATTTCTCCTACATACCTGTTTTTCTTTTCCTTCTTTGAGCACAGTTAGTCTCTCACTTTCTCATTACTAAATGTTCCCCAAATAACAACCTAGTTACTTTTCAGAGCAAATGGCCAAGATTTTCATAAGTGGCTAGTGATTTTATGTGCTTTGGTATTTGGGTGCCCAATCTGAGAGGCCTGAAGGGGCCTGATTATCTGAGGTTGGATCCTCTGCACCTTTCAAGAAGCTGAAAATTTGTCCCCAGAGCTGAGACTGCCTGAGGTCCAACTTAAGCACCATGTAAAGGGCTTTAAATGGTACATAGGCCTTGCACAGGCTGTGCCGAATTTCACCCACAGAAAAGAATGGACTATTCATAGATGGCAGAACCTGTTTCTTCTTCCTTACCCAGGACAGATAGTGAGAATTTGTGAATTCAAAACCATGAAATATTTAGTTCTCTTTGCTTCATAAAAATGACAAAATCATAGGAAAAGCAGGAAATCAAGTATACAGATACTGACTTAGGGTTACCATATTTCAACAATCAAAAAAGAGGACACGGGGTGCCGCCCTAGCCCCGCCCCGCCATCGCAGATGTGGTAATTTCCATTTCCATACACTGATTTCCATCCGCCCTCCGACCTTCATGCCCATGTTCCATATTATCATCTGTATTAAAAACTGAGGCAAAGTATGCATTTCATTTTGGGGCCATACCTAGGTTATCTTTAATCTCCTTCCCATCTACTTTACATAGCGGGCTTAACCTCATCCTTCCTTATTCCCTTTCTATTTATATAACTAATAAACCTCTTTTTTTAAAATTCAGCTTGACTTTTAGCAATTCTCACTTTATTCCTACATTTTCTAACCTCCAAGGTGTAGCTTTCTTTACTGATCAATCCCCTTATCCATTCTCTGTAGGCTCTCTTCTTATTCCTAATAGCCTTTTTGAGGTGGTTATTCATCCAGCTGCGTCTGGGGTCTTTCCCTATGAGTGTGTTTTTCCCCCTTGCTTGGGTGCAAATTTCAGATAGTTTTCATATCGTTGATTTGAAGAAATTCCAAGACTCTTCCACATTTAAGTCCTTGAACTCTTCACTCCAGTTGACCTCTTTAACTCATTCCCTTAATTCCCAAAGTTTGCCCTTTTGAAATAAAAAAAAACAAAACATACTCGATGACCTGGTTTTGATTATCCTTCCATTTAATTTAAACTGAATCAACTTGTGATCACCTGATCCAAGGTTATTTCCTACAACTAGCTCTTCTATGATGTCACTACTTACCAAAACCAAGTCTAAAATTGCATATCACTTGTTGGTTCAGTGACCAGATGGCAGCTACAGGCCTGAGAGGACAGCAGAGCTGCCTGGCTGGGAGGGGAGGTTATGCTGTGCCCTAAAAAAAGCTGTAGCAAAATACTCTCCCCTGCTCTGCACCAGGGCAGGAATGGAACTGTGTCTCTGAGTTGCAATTTCTTTCTGGGACTCTTCCTGGAATGACACGGTTACATCCTGGCCTACAGGCTCGTTCTAGCCCTAAGGGCCCAAATCTGTCTTTCTGTCATGTTGTGTCAGACTTCCTACAGTTTGTGAGTAGTCCCACTGAGATCAGTGCAACTACTTCATAGTTATTATTCCACATGAGAAATGGTGGCAGAATTGGAGCCTAGGATTGTTGTGATCTGCGGCATGTCAAACCATTCGCTTCTGTTGATTTAATTTGTGGTTTGGAAATCGCCGTTTTCTGCCGTATGGCACAGAGCAAAGCTAAAGTGTGGCTCTGAAGCTTGGGATGAGCTTTTCAGGCCAAGGGGACCGTGAAACCCTTATGTAGTGTTGGCCCCATGGGGATTTTCACCATGATAAGGCTGTGCTCCTTTGCCAGTTCTGCATCTCTGGATCTAAGAGATGAGCGTAGCTATTGCAAAAGGGGAGTGATGTTATCAGTGGTATTTTTCTGAATACATTCTGACCTTGGATGCGTGTGGCTCCCGTTTATTTCTCATTAAGGTCAATTGCAGCTGTGTATGTGGATCTGAGATTTGAATTTAGCCCATTCAGCTCTGGATGGCAGCATATTTCATTAGAAAGTTAAGTTCTTCTTTCTGCCTCCTTGCTGCCAGATCAAATGAGAGAACCACCTCCTGCTTCCTCCCCGTGAGTGTTTGTGCACTTTGGCTAATTAACCCGATACAGACAAAGGAGAGTGGCTGAAATCTGTTTAGCTCTGTATCACGTGGGTCAGATTCTGCTCTCACTTTCAACCCAGTGGTGAGAGACGCTCTCTAACTGGATCTGAGACGATTAAACAGCAGCATATATGCCAGGAATGGTTTACTCTGCCAAGAAAGCCTGGTTGGTTGGAAGAGGTCTAGTTCTAGATTTTAATGCAGTTATGGAGCTCATTGTCGTTAGTTTGCTAATGACAAGAGGACTACACTTCTGCTTATCTGTATATTCTCCTGTGATCTCTCTGGATAACTTCAAGGTTTTTTGAATTGCGGTCAGTTGATGAACCCAAACATTTTACATGAGATTACAACAGACTTCTAGTTTATATTAGCAATTTTTGTCTGTCCATTTAATCACTGGCCTTTTGGTGGAGCCAACTGGCATGAGGCAGACACACATCTAGTGGAAACTGAACTGAGTCTATGAACTCAGTTCACATAGGTCACCAGACACTTATCAAGCAATGGTAAATTTTGTCATTACTGATGTGAACTGAATTTGAATCAGTGACCTACAGGTGACGGTTCCAATGGGTTTTTACCAAGCCTCTAAATAACCACATATAATGCCCCATAAAATCTGATTTTGGTTGTTTTGGTCTGATCCAAAACACATACATTTCTGTTGACTTCAGTGGGTTTTGGATTGAGCCCTAAAAAAGACGTTCCCACCTTTTCCTGCTGTTGAATTATTTTTGCTGTCAGTGTTATTTTTCCAAGCAAACTGATTTTGGGAGTCCAAAATATAAACAATGGGGAACTTTTTATTTTCCAGATGGAATTCATTGGTGTAAGTCAGCTGTCATTTATCCACGATCTAGGACCAAAGGGCATGTAAGTTGAATTTTATTTCTTTGTGTGCAGGGCCGGCTCCCGGCACCAGCTTAACAAGCAGGTGCTTGGGGTGGCCAAGGGAGAGGGGCGGCACCTGCGGCAATTCGGGGGCGGCAGGTCCCTCCCTCCCGAAGGACCTGCCGCTGAACTGCTGCTGCCGATCGCGGGTGTTTTGTTTTCCCCCCAGTGGCCACCGCCGGGCGCGAGCGCGGCTTTTTTTTTTTTTTGCTTGGGACAGCAGAAATGCTGGCGCCGGCCCTGTTTGTGTGAGTCACATTTCATCAAGAGCATCATTTTATAAAGAGAGACTGTCCAAATTGGTAGCTTTCCTGCCAAGCTAGCAATTAATTTGGGAACATCTTATCTTCCATTATTATTCACAAGAGGACATTACAACTGTGGAAATAATAATAAATGTAAAAGGCAGAACACATCTCATTGCCAGACTCACAGGGCCAAATTCATCCTGTCATTGACTGGAATTGCATCAAATAATAATATGGCCCAATGCAGACAACCAGAGCAATGTACAGTCCCTGTCATAACATGCTTACATCACTGGTTAGTTTATTTCTTGTATGATGGTGACATGAAAAGAGTGCACTGAAATCAAGAAAGGTCAATTTTTTTCTTTAAACTTCCCAACATTTCCGAAGTTTCCTTGAGCCGGGCGTTGACACTTAATTCCTTTCTTTTGAACACTATTAAATAGAAACTGTGTTGTTTCGGTTACCACCAAAAGTGTCTGTTGCTTTTGTAAACGGCATCGCAGGCAGTAGTGAAACTTTCTTCAGGTTATTTGGATGGGACATGGCTGTTTGAAATGCAGTGATTCCAGGCATCCAGTGTTATAAACAGGGAAGGACTTGACAGTGGGCAAGAAGGACGGAACCTTCTCTGTGTTAGGCCCTCTCGCAGATTTAAGAGCTCTTCACCACGTTGACATTCTCAGACTAAGGGCACGTCTTCACTGGCAACGATAAAGCTTTAACATGGCTTGTGTAGTCGTGGCACAGCTCCCAGCGCTCTAAAAAAACCACCACCACGAGGGGTGTAGCTACCAGCCCTGAGCGCTGGTGCACTCACTGTCTATACTGGCACGTTATAGCGCTGAAACTTGCAGTGCTCAGGGGTGTTTTTTTTTCACATCCCTGAGGGAGAAAGTTGCAGCGCTGTACAGTGCCAGCGTAGACCAGGAGCGGTACCAGGGTTTTTGCCGCCCTAGGCGGCAGCGCTCCTCCTCTGAGCATTCAGGGGGCCTAGGGTCTTCGACGGCGGGGGTCCTTCCGCTCTGCATCTTCAGGGCACTTCGGCAGCGGGTCCTGGAGCGAGTGAAGGACCCACCGCCGAATTTCTGCCAAAGATCCGGAGCGGAAGGACCTCCCGCAGCCGAATTTCCACCGAGGGCGGCAAAATGCCGCCCCCCAAATCCTGCCACCCTAGGTGACCGCCTAGGGTTGCCTAGTGGAAGTGCTGGCCCTGGCGTAGATAAGCCCTTAAGCTTGTAGTGCTTCAGTCTGCGCTGCAGCCCTTAGCTCTAACTCATTCCTGCTGTGCACAGAAGCGATTCTCGCTTTCCCTGCCAAGTGGGAGGGTAGGTTGGATGTATTGTCTATCCACCTAATCCTCCATGGCCTTCATTCTGCCCCGTTGCCATTCCCTGTTTGCACCCTAGATGCCTCTTTGCCCTCAGTTCATTTGTAAGCGGAGACTTTACCTTTAGCCCTTCTTATTGCTGGCATGGTATTTATTACAATACCACTGCTGTGACTGTGGGTTCAGTTCATTTGCTGGATGTACAATAGAGTTAGGTTCAAGTCACCCACTGCTTGGGAGGTGGATGAAATGTCTGAGACGCAAGGAGAATAAGAGAGACGACCTGACAATAGAAAATGAGAGAGAGGTGAGCCACTTCTGCTCCATTCTGCCCATGCCACCCAATGAGGTCAAAGGGGTCAGACAGATGTCACAGTGCTGTGTTTGACCTCGCCTATGTACCTCCAGGTCAGATTCCTCCAGTCCATATAGCTTCATCTAGGCATAATTAATAAGCTGTGTATGCATGTATCAAATTTGCCATTTATTTGTCATCTTTACATTTGTTTCAGAGAAGGTATGATCATGAAACGATCTGGGGGCCACAGAATACCTGGTCTGAACTGCTGTGGGCAAGGAAGGGTCTGCTATCGATGGTCCAAAAGGTACTGTAGAAGGGGGAGTTGTCTCTTTGGTGACTTTTTACCTATTAGAAAGACAAGTTGTGTGACCTCATGTCTTTTATTGCAGAGGTTTTCAACCTTTTCCTTTTTGAGGCCCCCACAACATGGCCCACCTGTACCACAATAATTGATTTTCTGCATATTAAAGCCAGGACTTATGTTAGGGGATAGCAAGCAGGGCAGTTGCCTGGGGCCCCATGCCACAGGGGCTTCCGCGAAGCTACATTGCTCAGGCTTTGGCTTCAGCCCTGGATGGCGGGGCTCAGGGCCCTGGGCTTTCAGCCACATGTGCAGGGCCATCCTTAGGCATATGCAGCATACAAGTCTGCGTAGGGCACCCGAAAATTTGGGGCACCTCTGGGGCTTAGTGTCCACCCTCCCTCCTCTTCCTATCCCTGTTCTGACCCTTTCTGCAGGCTCCCACCACTAGCTGCTGCAGCCTTTTGAGTCTTCCTCCCGAGAGGATCTAGTAACTTAAAAGTGAAAAAGCTTTCCAGCCTGCCAGACCTATTAGCACAACATTGAACCTGTGAAAGAGCCATTCAAGTAGTAATGAAGCCATTTAGCAGGCATTTGCCAACCCCCAGGTATATACTGTCAGTTTCCGAATTTACTGACAAAAACAGTTGTGCATTATTGTAATATTTACTCAGAACATGTTAGTCTACAGGATCTTAGTTTAAAATTTGCTTTAAAAACATTTCATTAGTGTGTTGCTGAAGATGATAAAATCACATCTCTAAAAAATCCTTGCATAGATTTTTAGATGCACAATCTGAGTATTCATCTTTAGCCTTAAATGCTTGGATCTTTAGACATATCGTTTTTTAAATAAATCCTTCAAAGGACCACCCTTATCTAAAATTCACATTTTAATTTTAGTGACTATAGTACGAAAAATTTGCTTCCAAAGCCTTTCTGTCCTTTCTGTCCATCCCTTTCTCCCTTCACTCCCCTGTTGAAGAGAGCCCCTAAAGGGACAACACACCTTTCCTGCCAGATAACTGAACAAATGAGTTTCCCTTTCTTTACTTCTGACTATTTGATGAACTAGTTTTAAGAGAACCCTCTAGCAGTATCAATACTTTAGTAAGATATAAAATCCTTTGTTATGCCCAAAATATTTGGAAACATATTTTTTAAAGTTGGTGAAATTTCATAAACATGTCTATTGTTATGGCGATCACACAAAGCAAATTAGTGTTCCCTTTTTCTAAAAGCAATGAATGTTGTTATGAACACACTAAACCTCTGTGACTGATTAATTTAAAATAATTTCTTTGTTTCAGTGAGTTATATATGTAGTAATCTGGAATGATTGCTTTATAAAGGCTTAAGAGTACATTTAGAATATAAAATCAGCTTAGAAATACCGATTAAGAAAATGTAAAACAGAGAAGAGCTGCATCATGTATTCCATAATATTTAATGTTGTATTCAGCAGGACAGCTGACTTGCCCTTACTACAAAGTTTTTGCAAATAAATCTCTGAAAAACTTCAGGGTATATCAAAAAACCTGTGACCGACATTTTTTATTCCCAAGGTTAGTGCTTTTAATTAGGTACCTTCTGCTTGTCCAGTCTTCATCTTCTGGCATGCAGTGGAAAACATGCTCCATTTTCTTTAGAAAGAAATTACAGAAGAGTGTTTTTTTCAAATGTCATTTGCTTCATTTGGGTTCAGGGAGTGGGTGATCAGGGAGGGGCAGGGAAGAGAGGAGGGAGACAGTAGGGAGAGGGCAGGGCCTGGGCAGAGTGGAGGTGGGGCCTGGGGCAGAGCAGGGGTGGAGTATAGGCAGGGCCCCAGGTGGGCTGGGGAGTTAGCCATCCCAAGCGGCAGCTTCACCCACTGCCCATGACAGCAGGTAAGAGGGGGTCGGCTCCCGCACACCCAGCACACGCTGCAGTCTCCTTAGGCAGGGGCCGTATTCACAGAGCCGAATGCGCCAGCAGTGCGCATCCTGCGTGAGGGAGATGGTATGGGGATCTCTGCGGGGAACTGTGACTCTCTGCCGCCGTGAGGCTTGGTATCCTTTGATGCCTCATGCCGCCCCCCCCGGGCTGCCATCGGGCAGAGGGGCACCAGTTTAATAATACTGCATAAGGCCCCATAAATCCTAAGGACAGCCCTGCCCATGCAGGGGGGCTTTGGCTTTCTATCCTGGGCCCCAGTGAATCTAATGCTAGCCCTGCTTGGCGGCCCCCGTGAAACCTGCTCGCGGCTCCCCAGGGGGACCCGGACGCCTGGTTGAGAACCAGTGTTTTATTGGACCAATTTCTGTTGATGAAAGAGACAAGCTTTCATGCTCCACAGAGCTCTTCTTCAGGTCTGGGAAAGGTAACGAGAGTGTCACAGCTACATACAAAGTAGAACAGATTGTTAAACATAAGGAGTTAACAGATTGCAAGAAACCATTCAGAATGAAGTGGGCCATTAACACTTCTGCAGTCATAGGACAAAGGAGAGTTACAAAGAGGGTTACAGATTGTTGCAATGAGACATAGAATCCATGTCTCTATTGAGTCCATGCTTTTTGGTGTCTAGCAGAGTTCTGAATTGAAGCTTTAACTTATTAGTTGTTCTAGACCATGTACTGAATGTAAATAGTCTCACTCACATTTCCTACACATAAGGTTGTAAAACTCATTCTTTCTATAACTGAGATTTCAGCAAAACTACAGAAACCTCTATGTATTCATAGATTATTTTTTTTCAAGGTCAGAAGATCAGCTAGTCTGACCTCCTGCCTACCACAGGATGGCTTTGTTTTTTCTCTAGTGTTTAATTCACAACAGAAATTACATGACAGCTCCCCATGTGAAACGTGATTGTGTAGCAGTCATCCAGCAGAAATGGCAATCCTGTCAGCCCCGCTCTCTCCCGTGCTGAACTGTCGAGGTGATGTGTTGTTGTTGCACGTGGAAGTTTTGGTTCAGTTTACCTAGGGTTACCATAATCCAGCAAGCAAAAAAGAGGACGGGAGGAGCCCCGCCCCTGTCCTGCCCTAGCCCCGCCCCTGCCCCTCCCACTTCCCCCCCTCAGAACCCCCAATCCTCCCCCCGCTCCTTGTCCCCAGACTGCCCCCTCCTGGGACCCCTGCCCCTAACTGCCCCCCAGGACTCCACCCCCTACCTAAGCTTCCCTGCCTCTTGTCCCCTGACTGCCCCCTCCAGAGACCCTCCCCCCATCCTAACTGGCCCCCTAGGACTCTACCCCCTACCTGTACCCTGACTGCCCCAACCCTTATCCACACCCCCACCCCCAGACAGACCCCTGGGACTCCCACGCCCCATCCAACCACTCCCCACCCCCTGACAGCCCCCCCCCCAGAACTCCCGACCCATCTAAACCCCTCTGCTCCC